TACTATACTTGGTAATAATATTTGAACCTAATTAGCTTGATTTAGCTATATACAAAAATTTGGCTTTTTAGCTCATTCCTTGTGCCTTCGATTTGAAATTCTTCCTTAAATATATGGTTTCTCTCGGCATCCTTCTTTTTATAATTTAATCAAATCTTTAAATTTGATTTTTTTAAATTACTTTGATTTTAATAGTATCTACGTTGTTTGTTTAAATAATTTGTTCAGTGATTACCTGCTTATTTTTATCTTATTTAACTACAGCTGAATTTATAATATGTATCACTCGGAACTAATTTTTCCGTTTATTAAATGCTTCTGGATAAGAAAGTAAAGTAAGAATCCTATTGTTTGCTCGTTACGATGTTAATTTGACTTCGTTTTCGCAAGTTGGTCGGAGCGACAGGAAGAACATGCGGAAAGTACCTAGTTCTGTGCCTTTTGCCATTATATTCATGATGATTTTCAGCATCAGATAGGTAAATTTTCACGGATAAGTTGTAACTTTGTGCTAAGGATCGCGTTCCTTACTGGCGATACCGGCGAAATATTGCTGTATAGTCCTCGGCCTTCAGACTAAGTGCACACCTATATTATTTTCTTTAATATCCTTAAGGCTAACATTAATGCTCAAATATGTTTGTGAATATGCCTTTATCTTTTTCAGGTAATTATAGCATCGTGCTGGAATGCGTCGATGATGACCTTTACCGCCAATTTTCCCAGTTACGAAATATCCGAACAGATCCCGTATCTCTATATTCAGGTTCATCTATGACTTCACTTCATCTCTCTGATTGCTTTGACAAATTTACTGCTTTGGAAAGGCTCGGAATGCGAGATTTATGGTATTGTCGGAAGTGCAAAGCTGAAAAAAGGGCAACTAAGAAATTTGACCTCTGGAGCCTCCCCAAGGTCCTTGTTATTCACTTGAAGCGATTTCGTTCAAATTTACGTTTCCATGATAAAATTGACACCTTGGTCAATTTTCCAATCAAGTGAGTGCGGCTTAGTTTTGTTTGCTATATAAAAGAAAGTTCTCTTGCCTACGCGAAATTTAATGGCTTTGTGAGCCTAATCAGCTTTTGTTAAAAAATTTGGCTATCAGTCACCCTATGCGACCTAGAGTCATTACAGCTCTTATTCAAGATCTTCTCATGGTTTCGAAACTTTACTACTACGAATTGCATGTTTTAGTCTTTTGGAGATTGAGACATTAAATATGCTTAATAAATGAAAACAAGTAAATACATGAAATTTTAAGGCATATGACACAGCATGGATCATGCCAAACTTAAGAAAAGGACATTAATATACATAGTGATAAAGGGATAAAATCTGATATGGCTTAATCGAAGGTATAAAGACCAAGATGGTGTAGCCTTTTGTGTGGTCGCAGTCTCCTTTCGTTGAATAGAAGTTGTTTGTTTTCGCAACTCGGTCATGTTGGTAGGAAGACTTAAAGAAACAGGATAGACATGGCGGGGACCGTAGCTAGTTGGCTGACGGTAGTTCGGTTGTATTAG